CGAATTTTCACTGGCGCATTCACCATTTTCTTGAAACACTATGCTAACGTCGACTTTAACTAAAGTTTACTAATTACCATAATAACATATTCTTTCGACATACTTTGATTCTTTTATATAGAGGGTGGTTAGTTTTAAGTTGATTTAACCGACATTTGCATAAATCAGAAAGAAAAAACGACTCATTTCGTTTAACTTCTTGGACTAGACTAACCATTCCTAATTTCTCTTTTGGTTTTATGTAATTACTTTTCTATTTGGTTGATCTAAAGCTTACTAAAGTCAGATTGAGAAGCTGCGTTTTAATGTCTAAGAAATTTTGAAAAAATTACAATTATGTCACTTTGTGTGGCGTCCTGTAGGTTTTGCCACAGACATATTAAATTTATTGTGTTATTTTAGGTAATAAATTGTTATATTTTAGGAACGATGAGAGGGATGTAAAAAATATTTACAATAAATATACAGCGTGTCTTTAACTAATTTTAAGATAAAAACTTCATATGACTTCCGGCTTGGTTCTTGAGATAGAGTCAAAAAAAAAATTAAATATGCCGAGAAAATACTGGAAACTAGGCATTTTTTTTCATACATATTTTTTCTTACTGAAAACGGAGCAATGAAATTTGATAAATGTATCCATATGCTTTGTCTGTTGAAAGTAAAAGTTTTAATTTCCTTTCATGGGAACTATGATTCAGTTAAATTAATTAAGGAATTGACGATTCTAACAAAATCGGTTGAATCAAGAAATAACCAATAACCATCAACTGGAAATTTTACACTCCAATTAATCAAAAAAACTTTTCAAATTTAATTGAAATATTTTCATAAGAAAATTAAACAGTAAATTTATTTTTGAAGACCTATAACACATTTTTTCGATTTTCACCAAACAAAACTACACTTGAAGTAAGCCCATTCGCTTCCGAATACCCTGTATAATAACTATTAATAAATTACGTCCTTTCCAATATAGTATTTTCTTTTTTTTTTCCCCAGAGAATATCTGCTTTGGAAATAACGTCTTCACAAGCAAGAAGTGACCAACCTAGCTTCTGGCATACCACAAGGAGAAATATTTTAAAACCATTTCGTTTGTTTTGACAGTCCAAACGCATTTTCAGGAAAACTACTATTTCCGCACAACTGAATTTTCAACGGTTAGAATACGTCTTCCCTGAGGTGAACCTCATTTAAATACGGGACATTAACAAATTCCTTTGTGAAGTACTCGAACTCGTCTGCTTTAATGTTCTGCGAATATCGGTATTAGTTAATTGATGTCGATGGGCTTTTTGAATTATTGTTGTTCAGCCTAACGCTAAGTGGTGCTGTAACTTGTTTATTACCATAATAATCTACAGAAATGGCACATCCAGCCTAATAAGTTATTGTTTGTTGCGTAGAAATTCGTTTAGGGCGTTTTTTTAAGTGTGATTTGTTGCAATTTCGTTAAGAGGGTATCTACCTTAATCCTTTAATGTTTTTAAATATTAAATTTTACTACTCTTACTATTTCAGAAATATAGTAATATATTTAGATCGTAAATATGATGATATGATATTATTAAAAAAAAACATCAAATTTGATAAATAACGACAAAATTTAAAATTTTAAAAATTTACTGGATAAATTAGCAAAAGTATTTACATTACATTCGAAATTAATCAGTTTTAACTTGCAGTAAAAAATGATATTTAATGAAAATTGAAATTACTCATCTGCAAATATATAACATTTAATCGAACAATAAATTCAGGTCATATTAAGTTTAATTTATTAAATATAATTATTGCTATATACGTGTGTTGAAATAATCCACCGTAAAATTGTACAGCTCTCTGTCTAAATACAATAAAAATACTTGTCTATAAATCCATGTCATAAATGGCTTAGTTTTCAAAATGGTGGATCTTAAAAATACTGAAAAATGTTTAAAGATGTTTAACATGAATTAACAAAATTAAATTCTCTGAATTTATATAAATTATATAAACAACTGACTTGAGATAATGGAAGAAGACAAAACTCTCAAAATTTCAACGATTTTGGAAATATATTTTATTGGTAATAATATTTCAATGAAAAAAGAGGTCATATTTTACTTGACGAATGATCCAATTTTGAGTTTTACAACAAACTGTATAGGAAATGATTATGGCTATGCTGAAAATATATTTTTTTACTTTATTGTAAAAGTATTGTTCCAATAAATCCGAAAATTTTCTCTAAAAAATCTTACCAAAAAAGTCAAACAGTATTCTTCGATACTAATAATAGAATATATGTTTTTATATTGAAAATGGTGGTTTGAAATTATAAAGACATGTAAAAACAAACTTTAAGGATTCGTTGTGATGGTGTTTTTTTTGAAAATTGACAGAAAACTTTTTTACATGAAGTTTTGTCACAGGACCATTTTAAGTCAACAAATTACCCAAAATAGTTCATTTTTGGGAAATCGAAACTAATTCGAGATGTGCTCTGCTTCTACTTCAGCTGTTAGGATTTCCGCTAAACGAATATGCCAGAACTTACATATTACCCAGCGGCGCGCGGCGTATCCATTGCAGATTCTCCAACTTCTGCAGGAAATATATTCTCCTCCTCCAGAACGACGGAAGCGGAGGGGTGAAGGAGGGGGAGAAACAAATACGTGTTAGCTCGTGCGGAAAATAATACCAAAAGAAAGCGACAGAGGAAATATTGGGTCGTTTTACATTTATAATTTGTTTTGATATATCAATGAGTAGGTATAATTCAAGTTATAATTACCGTAAATGCCAAATCCTAATACAGACAAGAAATACCGGTAAGTTAACAATATCTGTATGATTATATCTGCAATACTGTATCCTTATATTGTTAAATTGTAACGGGTCAGTATTCACTGAAAATTGAAATAAATGTCTGGTGAATTCAGATGACCACGAAATTTTAATTAGGAATTTTTCAAAGCAATCTATCATTAAGTACCGATATCTATTATATACGGGGTTGTAAGTACACGATTGTAGGTAGTGCATATTTTCTTACACCACATCTACACTGAAAAAAGCAAGCAATCTTACAAGTGTAATTATTATTACAAAAACTCTTGTACTTTTATAATATACTGAATAATTATAATACGGGGTGTTCTCGTAAAAAACGCGAAAAATCATATATACATACATACAGGGTATAAGAAATTTGACTGCCATTACTTCAGTTTTCAAAATACAGCGAGTATTAATTAATATTGGAGTTTCATCACAACGTGACAACAGCTTTGTCCTACGGAAAATACAAATGTAGACAACTGTTATTGTGATACATTTAGTAAACTTCAAGACAATTGTTTTCCAGTTTTTAAATAAATAAAATAAAATATATCGTACGCGAAACGCAAATGGCTCCATCTGTTGTGCTGCTAAAATTTGCCAGATACTTTTGTTGCACGACTGTCGCCAACGGGGCGAAAACAAAATGCTTAAATTGCCAGTACGACAGATGGAGCCATTTGCGTTCCGCGTACAATGTACCTTAAGTCCGAAACTGGTCTGTGCCTGATGGGTTAAACCGACGAACGATTCTAGGTGTTGCACTAGGTGTTACGAATATAATTCAATGCCGGTCGGGGCATATAGTCCGCGGAGTAGTTATTTCTCGCAACACTGGCACAGACAATTTAAAACTATATCGATTTTGTAGTACGAAGATAGTGTTGTGCTTAAATTTTAGTTAGAATTTTAGAAATTATGAATCTCTTAAAACAGGACCTTAACTTTTAATCAGATTATGTATTTGAAAAATATGCAATTAAAGTACCCAAAGACTCACGTCGTCCAAATAATCGTACGTATTAAAAATAATTTAGGTACTTAACAAAAAGCAAAATTCAGTAATTTTTAAACGGACAAGTGCAAAACAAACTACAACATAATATGCTGAAAATGTCCACCGCCATTTTCGATGCACGCACTACACCTTCAAATCCAGCAATCGCTGGAAAACACCTCAAGAAAAGGAAATAGTGATACGCAAAAAACACTGCGACACGGTCGAATCCAGATACCAACTGAACTGCGTACTGGTAGTTGTTGGAAATCTTAGTACCTCGTGATAATAAACCGCCACGCCGTTGTCACATTGCTTGATATGAATTTTATCGAATTTTAAATTTATTACGTTTATTATTTTTCAAAATTAAGCATAAAGAAGTTCAAACAAATGATTTGATGATATTCTATCGTCTGTTAAAATTAAGGCAGTCAAACTTCTAACACCCTGTATATGTTGAGCATTTACAGAAGATATATTTACGTTTACGATTAGTAATGTGAAACACACTTTACACTGTAAAATTAATGAAGTACGAAATACACTATACAAATATCTATTCTATATGTGAACAGAACAATTTTCTAAATTGTTTTCAATAGCAAGAGTCATTTTTATAATTAATATCTAACTTAGAATCAATTCTACTCACAAAAATGAAACTTAACTGTTATTATATAAATAAACAAAGCCGTGTCAGGTTACTAGGTTACGGAAGTCTTAGTACCTATACTATGAAATTTTTTAAATTTATTACTTTGTAAGTGCTTTTATATCTATCACTATTTGCTTATAACTACCTACTAACACAAAATGCGAAAAAATAGTATAAACAAATCTCGTAAGAAAATCAGTTTTACCAAACTTGATTAAATATACTATTTCCATGTGTGGTTTTTACAAGTATATACCTCGTAAACATACTTTACTAGAAAAACACTCTCCTCATACGAAGAACAAAAGTGCACACTCAGTTTTTCTTAATCTATGCCTATTCTGATATAAATTTTATGCTTATTAAGTTTATGTAAATAGCCGTGAGTTATTTCCCGTAAAAATGTATTCACCTTTCCATAGACGTCTAAAATTGTAAAGTTTCCCTTAGCGACTCTGCTCATACATTATTTCACAAGTTTACGAATTATATATTTACTTGCTAAAATACCCTTCTCACCTGTATTTGGCAGACGAGCTCCCCGTAAGGCCAGCAGTGTCGCAGTGAGGGTACAATAGCGAAGGGTGTCACAAACAACCCCATGGCGAAGTCGTTGCTAGCGAGGGACGTGAGCAGGTAACGAGGCTGCAACAGAATGAAATAAATTACTCCCCGGTGTCTAGTTAATTGACTCTAAATAATTCATTCGAGCGCGGGGATGTTCATTTTTGACAAATTTACTTCAATTAATCTATTATCAGTCCCAGTTACTGCAAATTGGGAGCCTGCTGTTGGGATATAATTTACATAATACAGAATATATACAGGGTGTACGGAAAACATGTACAATCTCTCAGCAGAATATATAGAAGGTCAAAATAATACTAGGACCTCCTATAATTTTTTTTCTAATTTTTTTCCTAACGAAGATATCGTAGCGCAAAGGGATGCCTAGATATTTATGATTTAGATTCCAATTTTGATTTTTTTTTTCATTTATTTGAGTTAGCTTAGTACCATTATAATAAACTGAAAATAACAAAATACCTGTTTTTTAAATAGTGTTTTGATAAGGCACCATGATTTGATGTTTAAACCGATTTTTTATTATTCTCCAGAAAGTCTCAACTAGGATAAAAATAGTATTTTAGATTTTAGATTATATTTTTCCTTAAAAAAGTATTATCCATTTATTTCTTTAAAATTTTCGAGATAAATCTGTTTGTGAAACGTATACCAACAATTAAAATGTATTTGTTTTACAAATTGTTTCATATATTTAGTTTAACTTTACCAACTGCGAACACCTTCGAAAGGTTGGTCGCAGCTTAAGAGGAACAAATTAAAAATAAATATTTACTTGATAATAGAAAATTAGAAACATGAGAAGCAAAGCAACAAATTTTCTACATGTTCTTGAAATTACTTTGTCGCGTTGTCCATAAATAGCAATTTAAAATAATCCTCATTTGTATAATTTAAACGATCCCCATAAATTTTTATTTAAATTTTCAGCAAAAACTATTACAAACATAATAATTTGACAATTAACTTGACAACTGTTAAGTTATTTTAATTGTTTTTGGAGTGTTTCTGGTCATGGCAAATTTGACAACAGGTCTGATACGAGGAAAACTGTTCAAAAAATAGAAAATTGCAAATATCTCTAAAAGTAGTAACGGCAACTCTAACAATGCTTATAAGGCTTGAAAGGAAATTTCAACCCGCACACGACAGAGTAAAAAATACAGGGTGTTCCATTTAAGTTAACAAGTACAGGTACCAAAAATCCACTTGATACCACGCTCCTGAATATTTAATAAAGTACCCCTCAAATTTCACGTAGAATCCAAAAATGCAGTTATATGTAGGGTGTTCCATATAAAATAAGAGAGTTAATGTCGGCTTCTGGTATAATCGGAAGTGCCATAAAGTTCTAAATATTTTATGTGTTGGCCCTACTGTCATTATTAGGTTACCAAATTTTCAAATTTGTCGAATCAGTACCTTTCGAGATATCGATAGTGACGATTCCTGGTGGGACACCCTGTATATCGATCACTAGAAGCGTTTGGTAAATATTTCCGACTAACATTCAAAATTTCAAACTCTTTCCTAGTAAATGTTTAATTTTAATCTTTAACTTGTTTCTTTTAAGCTATCTAAAAGATTTTTTAACTTTTTAAAATTAAATAGAATTAAATAAATGGATGGAATAATTACATTTGTTTTCATTGTTTTTATTGTTATTTCAAAAACCAATTCATCTTGAAAACCGTTCTTTTTACGGAAAAGAATAGTACCTTTTTTAAAAAATGTTCCAGAAAAGATATTTATTTTTAACATCAAATTATGTACACTTGTCTATAATATACTACCACTTTTATCACAATGTAGAAGGTTTTAAAGTCACAACCCAAACGTAAATCTGGATATCTCTGAGACCAAATATTTCCGTTAGAAGGATATAGTAATGTTATTTTAACATGGGACTTCAAAGAAATTGGTAAACACTTATCGAACACCCTGATTTTCACAAAAAGGTGACCTCTTATACGTAAAAAATATGCATATATGTATATCGAATATATTTTTGCTACATATTTACGGTGCATACATGATGCATTCTAGCATATTTTGTGCAGGAATTTCTGAGGCATATCTATTACCCACGACTACAGAATGAATTGCACACGATATTGCATGTTGCAATATGCGTCTTCGTGGTTATATTAAAGCAGCCAATAATTCATAACTCCTGGATAAACAATACAATCAGTCACGGAGAAAGGCTTTAATTTAGATTTATGTATAGTATGGCAGTTTTCATGCATGCTCGAAAAATTAGAACACAGATTAGTAGTAGTCGTGATTTAAAAAATTTTTTTTTGTTAATGCTGAACTGAAGTACAATAATATTCTTTAACCTTTAAAAGAATATTGTAAAACTGATCAAAAAAAATATTTTACAAGATTTCGTAGTTAATTGAAAAGTTCAGTAAAATGCTACAAAATAATTTAATGTATAATTTTTTTTTTAATTTTACTATACGAAACAATAGGAAATATTTTCTGCGTGCTGTTCTCAGGATCTACAATACAATGAGAATATTCAGAATACCATTTGAGAATTTTCAAAAGTCTATTGTTCTTCAGTGGTGAAAAAGATATTACTGCAAAAAAATAACAGTTTGCTACAGTAAAATAAAAATAAATAGAATATTAATACACATACGCACCACATATAGCTTCATTAAAAGTTATTCGAACTCATGTTTCGAGAATGAGATGAAATATTTACTTTAAATTGAAGCACAAAACCAAACAGGCATATTCTCCCAATTTATTTACTTTGCTACAAACATGTCAGCTCGCTATATCAAAGGATATATTTAATATGCTGTCCACATAAAACAAAATATATGTTTCCTGCTAATAAATACAAGCGTATAAATTGAAGACTATGAAACATTAACATCGAAACAGGAAGAAGAAAAAAAGATTTATTACGTGTAATTTGTATCTAGGGTTGTAATAAATTCCCGTTTATAGTCCGTAGTAACGTAACATTAACTTCAGATTTAGGGAATCGGAACTCATTAGTGTTAACAGAGCAAACAACGCGGTAATTCTTCAAAGTGTTTTCTCCTGATTTAGGTTTTATAGAGTATGTGGAAAGATTCGGTTAGTTTCAGATTTAGAAAAGTAAAAATAGGTCAAAGGAAAAAGTCATCGATACCTGAATTAAATATGTAATTAAAGCCATGTTCACACGCTACGGCTATTGTCGTATGTCGTGCGAGCCTGGATACATAAATCATATCGGACGGTACCTACCTGGGAATGGATGTACTTGGAGTACCTCCTGCTGTTGATGACCAAAATGAGCAGCATATTGGCGGCGAGCACTCCGACAGTGAGCAGCAGCACGATGAGCGCCTGTATTACATCTCCCGGGGTGAGAGCGGAAAAGAACGTCAACTGACTGTAGCGGGGGTGAGTGCAACTGCTGTTTTGGAGGGCCGGTGCAACCAGAATGGTCGCTTTGTGATGCATCTCGAAAGGTGTCCGCTGTTGGGCACTGCCAAACAAAAATTTGTAATAAAAAAATAATTGAATAACCCTAATCCTTAGATTGATAAATAAATCTTTGCCTACAACATAATCTTCACTTGAATTTTAAAAGTTTACTGTTTAAAAACCTAAATTGTCTAAAATTTTCCAACCGAACTCTCACATTTGTCCCACAAATACTCATACCTTTAGTTAAACACCAAGTATATATCTCAACGATCTTCCTTTTACTGACTACATTCAATTAAACCGAACGGGTAGATTACTGGTTTATTAATGAGATCAACTACAAGTAAAGTTCGCCATTTAGGCAAGTTTAGCGTCTAATAATAAGTTTGTGTTAACCTCAAATGTATCATGTTTACCAAGAAGTCGTGTAATTGTGCCCCAATTTGCGTCCCCAACTTTGTGAAATCCGAGCAATCTATCCTTAACCTTCGAGGGTAGTTTCAAGATAAACTAGGTAGAAAAATAGTCGTTACAGTATGTCCAGTTTATAACATCCAAGTAATTTAGCAATTTTTTAAATAGATGCAGGGTACATTTACCGTTGGTCCATCATAAACTGATTCTGTTAATGTAATAAATTTGAACGATAGCAAACCGCCCCTCTCTGAATTACGTGCAAATTGCTCCCCAGTTGCCGGAAGCACTCATAGTTATGAAATAGGAAACGGGCAATTAAATAACTGGAACCATTAGTACATTGAAAGGCTTCAATGGAAGTATGAAATTAAATTTTTACCAAATGGAATCCGCCGTACGTAACAAAACTCCTAAAACCCGTTTGCGGGATTCACTTCTACTCTCACTAACAGACCGTGCGGAATAATCCTCTAAAGGGTTTAGGCTGTCAATCACTCGAAAATGTGTTGAAACAGGATTAACAGGGATAATCTACGAACTACATAGTACGTTCAAAGCTTTCCAAACGGCAGAATCATATATATTTTATACCGATATCCGAATATCTGTCTCCCAACAGACCAGGAAATAATCCAACCGCAATAAATTTTGACTGGAACTGAGTTTTTATATATACATTTAGTTGAGAGGGTAGGCATTAGAAAAAAAACGGAATCGCACGCTCATTTCTGACATTTTCCTGACATTTACTATTATGTATTATATTTTTCTGAGTACCTATACATATACATATAACATTTTTTATTTAATATCTTTAAATCCTTGGCAAAATATCCTGTTCTAGACAAATGATATAATGCTTTATGTTATCCACCTTACCTGGAGGCAAATTGGGACTTCTTGCCGACTACAAAAATGTTCATTTATAAGAATAAAAAGGTTAAAGTCCCAAAACACTTTTTATTACTCATGTGAGAGCCCTATCTTTTCGCTTATTTTTTTTTATTACTCGCGTGCGGTAATCACGCAAGGTCTACCTTGATTTTTTAAATGTAAACCCATATTTTTATTACAGGAAGCCTTTTCAAGAAAAATGTTTCATACAAAAGTTACGTATTTTTTTTCACAGAATACGAAACTATTAAAAATATGAGTTTCCATTTAAAAAATCTAAAAGATCTGTTAGTTAAATCTTCACAAACAAATCATTTTGGATTAAGCAGTGAATCAATTTTTTCATGTATAATTCTTCACTGTCTATCTATGTATAATATACATTACATCATTCAATTTGCTGTATGAAATAGTTTAACTATTTGAAACTTTAACAGAGAAACAAACTGTTCGTGCGTGGCACTCTTTAAATTAGAAACAGTGCATTCATTCCATTAGACGAAGTGCATACCTACCGAAGCTTTCATATATTGTGCCGTTCCGCTTCCATACTTTATCAATGAATTTACGAAACGAAACTACGAACTACCGCTAACATTTCATCGAACTATTCGACGGCTTCACAGAATACTAATAAAAATTTTAAGAACTTTTCACGCTACGCGAACGACTCGATTTGACAGTATTTTATCACTATTGCTACCTCCCGGACAGAGAGTGGGTCGCGAAAATAGCTAGACAGTTGGATTTCATGAAATTCATATTAGTCGGTTGAATGTTCCAGTCACTAGACATCGACACCTGCACAGGTTGGGGTTGGGAATTCTGCCTCAGTCAGTGTCGGAACTGGCATCGTATAGGCCCTGGAACAAATGAAGGTACATTTAGAATAACGAAAAATGTGTTCAGTTGTGGCTAGACTAGAAAACAATTTATATTGGCCTAAATACAGATTTTTGTATATTTATTTTAGTTTTTTTTTATAAGTATTTTTTGTAATAGAAACTCTCCCCCGAAGTAAGCTCCTGTCGGAACTATTTAATTTTTCCCTCAAGAACTATTACTTATAAAAAATGGTAATAGTGAATAAAATAGATAAATTAAGTTGACTATTTCAAGAATTAGTATTTAAAACTCTAAATTGCTTTAAAATGTTGTTTCTTGTTATTTTTTTAATCTTCCTATTTTGTTTTTGGTGGATCGTAGGAGAAATACACCGTACAACTCGAGCGGATTGTCCATATCGCACTAGAACGATCGTTGGATATCCGCTCTTGTTGTACAAACTACTATTATCTAACGCTTTTTTAAAGTATTATTTAAAATATGATATTAAAGTTCAATATAATTCTGTCACAGTTATTACTGAAAGGAAAATTTATAGCCACGGTTGATGGAAGTTTACGTCAATCTAGGGAACTCAAAATTCGATACTGACATATCGAAACACAAGCCGCCTAAAAGTCAAAGTTTAAACGATGTTCGACACTCTGCTTCCTCTCCGAGAGTAGACGAATTCCGTAGCTTTATGGAGCAAAATATTATGTTGATAGATGAACTGCAGGAGTCGCCGGGCAAAGTGGGGAAACACCTAATAAAGGCTGATTTACGGCCCCCAGAGTCCTAAAATCGCAGATCACGAAATCCTGCTCGTTCCTTTTTGGTCTGGCCTCCACAGCACACTCCGCTCTGTTTATGGGCCATGCGCTGGTAATGGATATCGCCTGAAAGTTACGAGTTAACACATTTGTAATAGATATCACCAGAAATTATTTATCTGTGACAGGTTAATCTTATATTAGAGTGCTGGCAACGTGTATATTCCCTATTGTACCCCCTTTCATATTCAAGCAAATCAAAAGACATTTCAGACGCTGTAACTGTGAATAAATGTTAATATTCGGTTAATACTGATGAGCATTTAAAATGATTATATGTACCAACATTAGAGTTTATACAGTTTATAAGTTTTTTTCTTGTCCATACTATAAAATGAACCTTTTCTCTTTACATATATTGTAGGTCTCATTGGCCATTCTCGCGATAGTAGTCGCTATCGGAGCAGAAATTGAGCTATTGTAGATACCGTGCTCAAGGAATGTACTTTACTGAGAGCATCTCGCTGGACGGATTCTTTCCAATTTTGCTTTTTCAAATAAACTTGGAACTTAGGCCATAGAACTGTAGTGAATCCTGAACAACTTAGACTAGATTTAAAATATAGATTTGAACCTAAAATCACAACAAGCCCGCAACAATTTATAGCAGTTTTGTTTTGAATATAAAAAGTTTAATCGAAATTATTTGTTTATAACACTGTTTTGGTTATCTAAAATATACCGTATATACAATGCAGCAGCATGAAATTTGGAAAGCACACAAAGCATACTGGTACTTGGTCCTAGGACCAAAGTCGACATTCGATCACACCTCTTGTTGGCTCCGCCAAATCTAGAGATTGATATTTGCTGATGTTTCTCGTCTTTGTCATCAATGAATTTCGGCAATTCGTGATATTATCTTGACCGCCGTCGGATGTGGTTGGGTTTCTGGGTTTATCACATCCTTCATAGGTCGTGAATCTATTTTTATAAATTTCGTGTTCTTTTACTAAAAAATCATTTTTACTTTTTAAGGTGATCCGTGGAAGTATTTAGTGGTCTCTCTGTCAACAGCACTGGAACATCTTGCTGTGGATTCGAAGTATGGTTGAAATTTGAGCTTATCTAGAGACAGTAGTTTTTATAGCTTTTAATGGAAATTTGTGCTCCAATATTTTATTTGTAATTCCGTATAACTTTTTGATATTTCTTCGTAATAGGAACCAAACTGATTTAATATCGGGACAAAAACCGAAACAATTTGCATAATTTCCCCAATAAATCCTAAGGGTAAACGCAATATGTGTTTTATATGAAAAGTTATTTATCACTTAAAGTCCAGGCTATTCGGGATATTGTTGTATATTTATCGATGTATACATTATCCGGCTACACCCACAAACTTGTTCGGGCAAGTATATTTATGCGGAAAATAACGAGGCTATCAATAATCGGGTAAATGGCCAATAAAAACTTTTTAATGGTATAGTTACAATTTGCGGAGGGTCGCAGACGAACAATTTATTAATGCCGGGCATAACTTGAACATTCGCGGTAGTTTTTGCCCGTCGAACGGTGCGCGGTCTGGTAATTGGGAGCGCAAAGTGACTTAATGGCTGGTCGTTTCGCGGTTGTTAACTCCTGTTTTCACCGCCGCACAGGTTGTTGTCAGTTGAATAGGGATTGGCGTTGGTAGAGTAGAGGTACCATTTCAACGCGTCGTTGTATTCATCCAATATAATTTTAAAACACGGGTCAGGTTTTACCACAGTATTGAAACTGACCGATTTGATAGGACGATTGTATGGGGAAGGGACAGAATATTACTATTCTTAGAAATAAATCCAATCTCACTTATTCTTTCACTACAGTTGTGTTAAAAATATAGTAAACATTAATTTAGATCCGTGATTTGTAACTATATACAGGGTGTTTCATACCTCCAACGACACAGTGGAGGCACGTGTAGGAGATCTTAAAATATATCGATTTGTTAAAAAAAAACAGTATCATTTTAATGGCGCCCTACCCCTAGTCCGGCTCTTATTGTGCCTCCAACAAATTAATATTTTTACCAATTAAATATAATAATAAACGCAAATCATCATCAAATTTGGTTGCTCTAAAGGTATTGCTGAACATTATTGCTTTTCAAAATTTAACACTCACCTCCAAAGGCCAATCAGTCCGAGTATGTATCCCATTTTATCATAATAACAGTTACGTTATTTCAGGGTTAAACGTTAAGGTTAACGTTAACTGTTAAGATATAACGTGCTCGTTATTGAGGAATTAAGACAATTTTTAGCAAATACTCGTATTGCAATATTGTTGTTTTTTGAAGACGCTTTTATGTCGACATTTTTAATAGTAATTATGCAAAATTATTGTAAACAAGAGTCAGTATTAGACAAAAGCACACAACTGACAGAAGTCTTTTAGGTTATGAAACATGAAACAAATGCAAACTCGTAAATAACGGGTAAGTTCGACATAAAATAATTTGCAACACGTTATCTTAAATTATAACAGAGTTTCTTAAAGGCAAGGAATTTGGTGTCGCTATAGTTTAACGTACGTGTTATTTGTCTAATGAAAATGAACGGATTGTTTTTACATTTACTTGCCGGTTTTATAAAAGCACATCGAAGGTAAGTTGTAAAATTTAAGTAACTTAGGTAAGTATTTACCCAAAAATTATTGTTAGGTTAAATCAAACGAAGAAGGATCTAATAAGGAAACTACCACAACCCGAACTCTCCGATATCCAATATTTTTATATATGTTGTAGACTCGGTTGTAGAACATAAAAAATTAAATGATACATATTTTTTTTATCGGAAAAAGATATTTAGGGGGTGAAATACATCCTCAAAGTTCGCCCCCTAAAACAGTTTTTTCTAAATATCTGGAGTTCTAATCAATATTTTGGAATGAAAAGAAATGGAAATTGTTTCTTATAAAAAAACAAATGTTTCACATTAGATTCCGTGTTTGGAGGTTGCTACCCTTATTTCAGAAAATCTTATTTTTTAAACATTTTTTATATATAAAAAAATCATATTAAAAACAAATAAAAAATATGATTTATGTAAACAAATTGACAAAATTAAGTTCTCTTTTTATGGGGTGAACAACCCTCTAGTGTGCTAAAAGTGTATGTACGATTAGAATTAACATTGCAAAACAAAAAGGTTTTACTTTTTCTTTAATCATATCAATAAAAAATAAGGGTTGCAACTCCCAAACACGGAATCACTTGTGAAACATTATTTTTTTTAAAAGAAGTTAATTTCCATTTTATTTCATTTCAAAATATTGAGATGTCACAGAAATTCTGTTTTTGGGGGTGAACATGAGGGGTAGTTTACATTCGTTTAAATCCGTTTGAGGCTAATAGAACAAATTATTCGTATGATTAGAGAAAAAGTAAAAACTTTTTATTTTGTAATGGTAATTCTAGTCGTATAGACATGTTTCGCTCACTAGGAGGTTGTTCGCCCCCTAAAAAGAATACTTATTTTTGCCAATTTGTTTATATAAGTTATATTTTTAATTTTTTTAAACAAATATGAATTTTTTATATATAAAATATGTTTGAAAAGTATATTTTTTTAAATACAAAATAAGGGTAGCAACTCCCAACCACGAAATCTCTAATGAAACATCTGTTTTTTTTATAAGAAGTAATTTTGCATGTTGTTTTATTCCAAAATATTGAACCCCAGATATTTAGAAAAAACGGTTTTTGGGGCGAACTTTGAGAATGTATTTCACCGACATATTTAATAATAATAATGCAGAATTAATATAAATACCCGACTCAATACACAAAAACATTTACAACTTAAAGAGTTCTTTTAGGTTATGAAACATGAAACAAGTACAACGTAGAGCACAAACTCGTAAATAACAGGTACCTACGTACAACATAAAATAGCGGCCGTTTACGGCACGTTATTTACAAACGTTATTTCTAACATAACGTTTTAACGTAAATGGGATACATACTCGGCCTGATTATCTCTTCAACGGTACATCCCAGCAAAAAATGGTTACATACCAAATCGGCATATCTTAAGATCTAAAGAGAGAAGATTCTAAATTTTTTTCTAAT